AAAAAAAAAAAAAAAAAAAAAAAAAAAAGAAAAAGCATGCATCAAGATATTCTCCATATTTTAAATCAAAGTTTTTAAAATGTTACCACCTTTTTATCTAACCATCTAATATTTTGGCAGAAATAATTTTTTAAAGTGATCACATGCTGGCTATGGCACTGATTTTAGCCATATCCTACCAAGCGCAACATAGCAAAACGAAAGACCACACACAATATTTACAAGAAAACTAGATGACAATTTAAGAAGGTATCATCCCCAAAAACCCTCTAATATGAACAAGCAGGGCATGACTAGGTAAGTATCAATATCTACACAAGAGGAAGAGAAACACAACTTGTCTTGCAATGACCCTACAAACCTGAAACTCTCACATTCACCAGCAGTATTAACTGGTAAGAGTGGAAAAAAAGCCTACATTCTACATTAAGATTGCTCCTTACAGCAAAAAACACTCAAGTATGTAAAAGCCCTAGAAAAGGTGGACGGACCACTCTTCAGTGAACAAATCACTCTGAGACAAAAATGGCCCCTACCTCAAAACCCAACCTGAAAGTCACCATAGACAACAGTATCCCTAATACAACAATCTCTAAAAGAAAATATTAAATTCCCTTTAGTTGCACAATTTTAAACAGAAATACATGCATGAATCCAACCAACCTCAGATTTAAAATATTTGAGAAAAAAGAAATTATACTGAAATGTAGATATTTATCATCATTACTCTCTAAACAATAAGGTATAAAAACTATTTACATATCATTTACATTGTATTGGGTGTTATAAGTAAACTGGAGAAGCACCAAGGATATGCACAGGTTATATGCAAATATTATGCCATTTTACATCAGGGACTGACCATCCACAGATTTTGATGTCCAAGGGAGGTCCTGAAACAAATCCCCCCCCCAGATGCCAAGGGACAACCATACTTTGCTATTAGTTGACAGAAAACTACCTCACCCTCCCCATTCCTCCCAGATATACACAATAGTGCAAAAATTACAAATGTTCTTTAAGACATCTCAATTTCCTCAAATTTCAAATATTTCTATAGCATATATTATTCTCCAGTTTCATCACCTACAAATGGAAATATTAGCACCTACCTCCCAATATTGGTGTGGTAAGATTTTTAGTTAACTGAGAACAATAAATTCAAGATGCATATATTAAACAGAAAGCTTAGACTCACTTCAAGCTAAAATACTTATATCAGTCTCATCACCTATATGTTTCAAATTTATGCCTCTACAATATAACAATTACTTAAAAGTTTTTTGTACTTGAGGTCACCGGAAAATAGTCAAAATTACAAATGTTAAGGGTACGCCAGTCATCTATCTTACTGACCCTTCCACATTCAACCTTGTCACAACTGCCCTAACATTCCCCGCAGTGCTTAAGTCCTATCATGGTGTAACACAAGGAAAGGAGGACTAGACAAGCACATGCAGTCAAGCTTCAGTAAGCCACTTAAAAATATCAGAAATTACAGAAAACAAGAATTATAAAGTCCAACCAAAAGTAAAAAGCTCCTAATTCTTTCATTTATTTATTTATTTATTTATTTATTTTTGGAGGCAGAGTCTCACCCTTTTGCACAGGCTAGAGTGCTGTGACATGATCTCAACTCACTGCAACCTCCACCTCCTGGATTCAAGTGATTCTCCCGCCTCAGCCTCCTGAGTAGCTGGGACTACAGGCACCTGCCACCATGCCCAGCTAATTTTTTATATTTTTAGTAGAGACAGGGATTCACCATGTTGGTCTCGAACTCCCGACCTCAGATGATCCACCCACCTCAAGTTCCCAAAGTGCTGGGATTACAGGCGTGAGCTACCGTGCCTGGCATAAAAGCTCCAAATTTTAACAGTGGTTTTGAGAAGATTCTAGCACTGTTACAGTAGAAGAGGAGGATGTAAGACAACTGAAAAAAAGACAAGTGGTATGTATCAATAAAACGTATATTACAAGAGGATGTGGAGCCGGAATGCCTGAGTATAAAACCCAGTTCCATTACTCATCAGCAGTACAACCCTGGACAAATTATTTAAGCCTTGTAAGCCTTAACAGCCTCATTTTTAAAAAGGAGAGACCTACTTCAGATAGTAGTTGTAAAGACTATATCAGGTTATGCATATGAAATATTTCATAATGTCTAACACAAAATAAATGATCATTAAATATTTGCCTTTTAGGAATAAAAAGAAAGGTGAGGCATGGTGACTCACACCTGTAATCCCAACACTTTGGGAAGCTCAGGTAGGTGTACCATCTGAGGTCAGGAGTTCCAGACAGGACTGGCCAACATGGTGAAACCCCATCTCTACTAAAAATATAAAAATTAGCTGGATGTGGTGGCAGGCACCTGTAATCTCAGCTATTCCGGAGGCTGAGGCAGGAGAATTGCTGGAACCCAGGAGGCAGAGGTTGCAGTGAGCTGACACCATGCCATTGCACTCCAGCCAGCATGACAACAGCAAGACTCTTGTCTCAAAAAAAAAAATAAAACATCTACAAAAATTAGCTGGGCATGGTGGTAGACACCTGTAATCCCAGCTACTGGGGAGGCTGAGAAAGGAGAAACGCTTGAACCTGGGAGGCAGACATTACAGTGAGCTGAGATCGTACCACGGCACTCCAACCTGGGCAACAGAGCGAAACTGTCTCAATTAAAAAAAAATAATAATTAATAAAAAAAAAATAAAAGGGAGTAATAATCCAAAGCAGGATTCCTGTACAAAAACACCTAGTTCATTAAAGACAAAGGCTGGGCACAGTGGCTCACACCTGTAATCCCAGCACTTTGGGAAGCTGAAGCGGGCGGATCACTTGAGGTCAGGAGGTGGAGACCAGCCTAGCCAATATAACATGGTGAAACCCCGTCTCCACTGAAAATACAAAAATTAGCCTGGCGTGGTGGCGGGTCCCTACAATCCCAGCTACTCAGGAGGCTGAGGCAAGAGAATTGCTTGAACCCAGGAGGCAGAGGTTGCAGTGAGCCGAGATTGCATCACTGCACTCCAGCCTGGGTGATAGAATAAGACTCTGTCTAAAAAAAAAAAAAAGGCCAGGCACAGTGGCTCACCCCTGTAATCCCAGCACTTTGGGAGGCCAAGGTGGGCAGATCATGAGGTCAAGAGATTGACACCATCCTGGCCATGCTGAAACCCCATCTCTACTAAAATATAAATAATTAGCCAGGCGTAGTGACGGGTGCCTGTAGTCCCAGCTACTCAGGAGGCTAAGGCAGGGGAATCGCTTGAACCTGGGAGACGGAGGCTGCAGTGAGCTGAGATCTTGTCACTGCACTCCAGCCTGGCAACAGAGCAAGACTCCATCTCAAAAAAAAAAAAAAAAAAAAAGAGGAGAGACAAAGACAAGCAAATTATAATGAAAGTAGAGTTTTAACCACGACTGTCCTCTAAGCAAGGGTCAAACAGATTATAAACAAAGACAAGAGAGAGATTCTGACATATACAGCTCCAAAAGGCTCTTAACTCTACAGAGCCTCTCAATAAAGCTTTTTATTTTTCTAGCCGGGTATAGTGGCACATGCCTCTGGTCCCAGCTACTCTGACGCAGGTGGATCATTTAAGCCCAGGAGGTCGAGGCTGCAGTGGGCCATGACTGCACTGCTGCACTCTAGCCTGGGTGACACAAGACCTTGTCTCAAAAAACAAAAAAGATTTTTATTTTATTTTATTTTTGCATTAAATGGTAAGTGACAACAAAAAAGCCCTAATTCCCCTTCCACATATATGCCAAGTTTTTAAAAAACCACTAAGGGCATTATGAGTATTACTTTATATTATTACTAATTTAATATTTAAATTAGCTATTATTCATTTGTTAATAGCTAATGGTGTGAGTTCTCAAAAATATGTAATATTCTTAATAGGTTACCCAAGGTATCTGATAGGTATGGAATGTGCAAGTGGTTACAGGTAGATTCCACACATATATACGTATTACAAGCAATGCAAAACCTGGGCAGCCTGATACATCAACAGGACTGCTATGGGTGAAACCAGAGAGAAGACAAGCAAAGGAACATATCAGAGAACTGGTGAACATGAAGATCTAAAATACATTTCTCAACATAAAATGTTTTTCATAGGCACATGTAATTAAACAGTGAACACTCTCCTCAATTGTTTACACTGTTATGTTTCTGTTATCAATTCAGTTTTTTGCTACATATCCTGAATAATAAACTTCTACAGTAAAAAGGGAAAAGATCTTCAGTCACAAGCAAAGGGAAAGCACGGTTTTCTGGGGACTATAAATTCCTTATCTTCTTACTAATGAGACCAGAAGCTTACTAATGATGTTTTGAAGCAACATGAAGTTTCCGACAGGTGTCCAGTAATGTCATATCCAGTAACAGCCCATAAACATTATGAACCCATAGATTCACTGGCAGGCACAAAGCGGGTCTGTAGATACAGATAAAACCACCCAGGTAACAGTAACATAGGTATTTTGAGAACCTTTTTGTGACTGTAAGGAGTTTAGTAGTAGCACTGACTGGTCTTTCTCACCCAATATAGACAATTGATTCTGAACTTTTTAATGTCTCCAAACCATTCACCAACTATTAATTACTCCCTAACAGTTAACATTTTGCATTATCAGACACTTTAACACTAAGCACCATCACCATGCCCCATTCCTCACTCCTAGTAGCTACTGCTACATCACCACCCCCAGACAAACAGTGCTGCAACACAGATTCCTCTAAGCTTTCAAGCTGGATGCAAACTTGGAGATCAGCTATTACAAGCCTCTCAATTAGCATCTGAGGAAACTGTGTCCAATAGTAATTTAAGTGATGAAAATCACTTAAAAGTAGAATAATTGGTTACAGTAACTCCCACTTAGGGGACACTCACTATGTGCCAGGTGCTGCATTAAGCACCTTATAAATATAAACTCATTTAATCCCACAACACCCCTTTAGACAGATCTACTTTATTACCTATATTTACACACCTGGAAATTAAGGGAGAGAAGTCAGCTTCGGTCACATAGTAGCTACATGACGGAATTCGGAATTCAAACCTATGTCTGTTTTGTGCTCTTCTAACTGTCCAATCAGAGTTCATTCCACAAGATTAATACCTGGACTTATTTCTTGAGCTATGTTCACTCTATTTAAGCCCAGCATACGGGTAATTTTTACTCTCCCCCAAATGTTTATATCTATTGCTTTATACTGTATTATTCAATACTTTATATTGTATTATTCAAGTCCTTACAACAGTTGAAACAACTAAAGGTATGAACCCCATTTTTTAAGTGAGGAAACAAGTTCACAAACAGTTTGTCCAAAGTCTCACCAAGAAGTAGCAAAGCTAAATTTGGAACTCAAGCAACGCTCTCTCCAAGATACAACACTATTCCACCATCACCACATGCTAACTCACGTGTAATTAGGAAACTAGCCAACAACTAGTAACAACTAAACTGAACATGAAAAACATGAGCTTATTTGGGGACCCAAAAGAATGAAGATTAGAAAAATTAACTCTAGTTAGAAAATAAAGTTACTGTGCCTAACTTTCAGCGCACCATTCAGGTTTACATGATGTGATAAAAAAGAAACTGTGATTTTATTCATGTTCATACCTTAATAACTTCACCCACTGGAATATTTAGAAGCAAAAGGGCATCCATTCAACTAATATTTACTGAAAATCTATTGAGCTTCCTCTGTGTACCATTGTGATGACAGCACAAGAGGACTTTAGGTGGCACATGGATAATTCCTATTTTAGTAATTTCAGTATTTATAGATTGTAAAGTGACTTAGAAAAGCCTAATTACTACAACAAGCCAATGGCTTCAGATCTTATTTCCCACAACAAGATTAAGGGGAAAAAATCAACACAGTGGTTATGGGGGTGGGGGCCAGGGGTTGTGGGCTTGACTTTTATCTGCAATATTTTTTCCACTTAAGAAAAAATTTTTGAGGGAAAAAAACTCAGCTGACCTGAAGAAAAGCATTAAAGAAGTAATTATACGAGGGCCGGGCGCAGTGGCTCAAGCCTGTAATCCCAGCACTCTGGGAGGCCGAGGCGGGTGGATCACGAGGTCAAGAGATCGAGACCATCCTGGTCAACATGGTGAAACCCCGTCTCTACTAAAAATACAAAAAATTAGCTGGGCATGGTGGCACGTGCCTGTAATCCCAGCTGCTGGGGAGGCTGAGGCAGGAGAATTGCCTGAACCCAGGAGGCGGAGGTTGCGGTGAGCCGAGATCACGCCATTGCACTCCAGCCTGGGTAACATGAGTGAAACTCCGTCTCAAGAAAAAAAAAAAGAAAAAGAAAAAGAAGTAATTATACAGATGTTACAAGACTGTAGAAAAATTCATAAAGGTAGTATTTGGCTGACATTTTAGAAACAATTTTCAAAGTGTTCAAGAAACACGTTAGACAAAACAAAACAAAATTCCCTCTTAAGAAACTGCACAGAAGCCATGCACAATGGCTCACATCTGTAATCCCAGCACATCAGGAGGCCGAAGCAGGTGAATCACTTGAGGTTAAGAGTTCAAGACTAGCCTTGCCAACATGGTAAAACCAGTCTCTACTAAAAATACGAAAATTAACTGGGAGTGGTAGTGTGCACCTGTAGTTCCAGCTAGTTGGGAGGCTGAGGTAGCAGAATCGCTTGAACCCAGGAGGCAGAGGTTCAAATGAGCTGAGATCTCAACACTCAACTCCAGCCTGGGTGACAGAGTGAGACTCTGTTTCAAAAAAACAAAAAAAAACAAAAAAACAAAAAAAAAAAGGAAAGAAAGAAAAAAGAAACCCCACAGAAGGATCTAATAGCCTCAAGGGCTTAAGAAGAATTTTTTTATAATAATTTATAAAATTATTATAAAGGGTTCTCAGTTGTTAACTATTTTTAAATAACCTTTAATTTTCTCACTGTTATGTCAAAATACCTTAACACAAGGAGCTTCAAACTGTAGGCAGAGGGAAAAAAAAAAAAAAGTCAAAATATGCATTATCAACAACATAAAAACGAGTATTATTTCTTGAGCATTTACTGTGCATACCAAGCACTGTGCCGAGTTTCCTATGTATTGCCTGCCCACACTTCCAGGTACTATTATTATCCCATTTTATAAATAAAGGAAGTGAGTTAAGAGGGATGTAAAAGCTTTCCTAAAAAGCAGAATCCTAAGAAGATGGCAATGGTGCTACAGTTTTTCATCTCTCTAAAACCTTATGGCCAAACTAGAGAGCAAAACCAAAAAGCAATGGCCCATATTTACAACAAAAGTAGCTGACACAGTAGTCCCACAGATCCCAAAAAGTGGGTGAGGAAAAACTGACAGTCACATGACCTGAACATTATGTGACAGAGAAAACAGAGAGAAGTCAAGGTGTATCTCAAAGGCCCAGAAAAAGGAGAATCATAAAACAGCCAACAGGTGTTCACTGGAAATCACTGCAGAACAATTTGAGAACAGCAACTGAAACTGAGATGGGTTTTACCAACTCCAGCAATGAGTGAATAGCCTGCTCTTGAGTTCTAAAAGACAAATCAGGTCTTACTAACTTGAGCTCTTGAAAGTGACCCAACAGTGCTCCAATCCAGAGGTAAGCCCCACGATGAGGAGAAAGGGCCAAGAGAAATGAAGACAAGGTTCAAAAAAAAAAAAAAAAGCAGGAGTGGCGAACACAGCCTGGAATTTCAGAATGCAAACTGCCATGTTCTTAAAGTACTTCACAAAAACAGTAAGAGTGCTCTATGTACTTAGAAAAGCTACTCTGAGCCATAACGCCTCTTAAAAGCTGAGGAAAACTAATTTCAAATAAAAATGATCAACAGCAATATATTGGGGTCAAATCCAATGACACTATTGTAAGAAAAAGAGAGTAAGGAGTAGATCAGCATCCCTATAGACAACAAAATCCAGAAAGACTAATTCAAAACAGATCAAAACTGCATTACCTATTTCAAAATGATCTACAAGACATTGGGAAAACTGATACAAGACAACATAAGTCAAAATCAGAGAAATTTAGAAGCACGATGTAATTCAGGAAAAAATGAAAAATAAAAGAAATAAAATCACTTCTGAAATAGACTAAACTAGAAGATACACCAGAATAAATGAATACAACAGAAAATGTAATGAGTCTTTCAAAGAAGGATATTTCTAAAACATCAAAATAGATTTAAATTTTCTCTTCAAAAGACACTGCCAAGAGAATGAAGACACAAGGCACAAAGTGGTAGCAAATATTTGCATATCATATCAGATAAAGACCCTGAATCCAGAATATAGAAAGAACTCTCAAAACCACAAACAATCCAATTTTAAAATCAGTGAAGATTTGAACAATCGCTTTACTGAAGACATACAGATGGCAAATGAACACATGAAAAGATGTTCAACATCATGTCATTAGAAAAACACAAATTAAGGCCAAGTGTGGTGGCTCATGCCTGTAATCCCAGCACTATGGGAGGCTGAGGCAGGCAGATCACCTGAGGCTGGGAGTTCTCCAACATGGAGAAACCCTGTCTCTACTAAAAATACAAAATTAGCCAGGCATAGTGGCATGCACCTACGGTCCCAGCTACTTGGGATGCTGATGCAGAAGAACAGCTTGAACCCTGGAGGCAGAAATTCTAGTGAGCCGAGGCTGCACTGCATTCCAGCCCAGGTGACAGAGGGAGTCTCCAACTCAAAAAGAAAAAAAAAAAAATGTGGCATATTCATACAGCGAATCTACTCAGAAATTTAAAAAAATGAAAACTATGTTGAATACAAGAAGCCAAAGAATCATACTGTTATGATTTCATTTACATAAAATTCTAGAACTCACAAACTAATCTGCATTGACAAAAAGTTGCTTGGAGGAAAGGGAGCACCCGCAGGAAGGGTAGATTACAATGGAGCATGAGGAAACTTCTGGAAATAATGAATGAATATGTTCACAATCTTTACTCTTGTGGTTTCCAGAGTGTAGATGTTAAAATTTAGCAACCTATACATTTTCAATACAGTGTATTTGTATCAATTATACCTCAATAACACTGCTTTTTAAAAAATGACTCAAAAAAAGAATTTAAGACAAAATGACAAGTACTGAAGATGTGCAAAGATGCAGCAATATAGTCTCCCTCCCTTCCCCCACCAGACAATAATTCAATAATAATCACTGTCTTGGAATATTTAATACTTTTGAAAAATGTAAAATTCCATATTGAAAGACTACACTACCAGTGTGCAGATAGGTGGATTTAAAAAAAAAAAAAAAAAGACCACACTATATACCTGAGTACAGTGACTTCAAAATATGCAACATGTATTTTCAAAACATTTTTAAATATCTAGTCTCAAAAAAACCACTGTATTTTGGCTAGTCGCAGTGGCTCACACCTGTAATCACAGCACTTTGGGAGGCCAAGGCGGGCAGATCACAAGGTCAGGAGTTTGAGACCAGCCTGGTTGATATGGTGAAAGCCCCGTCCCTACTAAAAATATAAAACTTAGCTGTGCTTGGTGGCAGGTGCCTGTAATCCCAGCTACTCAGGAGGCTGAGGCAGGAGAATTGCTTGAACCTGAGAGGCGGAGGTTGCAGTGAGCCAAAGATCATGCCATTACAATCCACCCAGGGTGACAGAGTAAGACTCCAACTAAAAAAATAAAAAGAAAGAAAAAGAAAAACCACTGTATTTTAAAGAAAAAAAAATCTTTTAGGAAGGTTAGGCAAAAAGAGTGGACAGTTAATAAGGTAAAAAATATTATCACCAGATGTTAACAGCTTGCCAGGCATGGTAACACCGCTGTAATCCCAGCACTTTAAGAGGCCTACAAAGTGGGAAGACAGCTTGAGCTTGAGAGTTCAAGCTCAGGAGACCAGCCTAAAAAGATGGTAAAAACATGGTGAAACCCCGTCTCTACAGAAAACACAAAAATTAGTCAGTCATGGCGGCATGTGCCTGTAGTCCCAGCTACTTGGAGGGCTGAGGTGAGACTCTGTCTCAAAAATCAATAGATTTTAACAGTTTTATTGAGGAAAACAACAGAATTAACAAACTTAAGATACTCAAGGGTAGAAAATGTGAACCAAATATTTTATTTCCAGCCAAAGTGGCCTTCAAGGATAAAGGGCACATGCCAGGCACGGTGACTCATGCCTATGATCCCAGCTCTTAGGGAGACAGAGGTGGGAGGATAGCTTGAGCTCAGGAGTTCGAGGCCTGCTTGGGCAATACAGAGAGACCCCATTCTCCACAAAGCAGGGGGGGGGGGCCGCAAAAAACAAACAAACAAAAAAAGGGCAGATAACATACAAGACATAAAATAAGAACTCCAGGCCGGCCACAGTGGCTCACGCCTGTAATCTCAGCACTTTGGGAGGCCGAGGTGGGCAGATCACTTTGAAATCAGGAGTTCAAGACCAGCCTGGCCAACATGGCGAAACCCTGTTTCAACTAAAAATACAAACGATTAGCCGGGCATGGTGGAGTGCACCTGTAACTCCAGCTATTCAGGAGGCTGAGGCAGAAAAATCACTTGAACCGGGAGGCAGAGACTGCAGTGAGCCGAGATCGCGCCACTGTACTTCAGCCTGGGCAACAGAGCACAACTCTGTCTCAAAAAAAACAAAACAACTGTGGGAGGCCGAGGCGGGTGCATCACGAGGTCAAGAGATCGAGACCATCCCGGTCAGCATGGTGAAACCCCGTCTCTACTAAAAATACAAAAAATTAGCTGGGCATGGTGGCGCGTGCCTGTAATCCCAGCGACTCAGGAGGCTGAGGCAGGAGAATTGCCTGAACCTGGGAGGCGGAGGTTGCGGTAAGCCGAGATCGTGCCATTGCACTCCAGACTGGGTAACAAGAGCGAAACTCCGTCTCAAAAAAAAAAACAAAGCAAACACACACAAAAAATACTCCAGAAATATTGTTTCAATAAGCCCCTTCTCAATAATCTATTAAGAGAATAAGCTTCATTCAGACAACCAAACTGACTAGAGACAGAGACAATATAATGACAATGACATAAGGACTGACTGTAGCCAGGAAATATCTAACTAGTGTAAAATTAAGATTAAAAGATAAAAGGGAAAGTCGGCCAGCCAGGGCGGTGGCTCACGA